TACGGTTAATTTATATCATTAGATTGTTAACTACTATTAGGTACTATGTAAACAACGGTGAACAGTAAATATTTTTAATTTTAGTTCTTTGTGGGATCAACAATTAAGAAAATAACTACTTCATATAAATTTTGAACGACATATTTATATCTGAAATCTGTAAACATAAAATTAAAAAGAACTAAAATTAGAATTATACTTTGAACAAATCTATCGTCTGATATTTCCCCTAGTAGCTGATAATTTTTAAATGTTAATTTGTATTTACTGTAAAATAAATGTAACATTGTAATTAATAACTTCTTTGATTTTGCAGCTACCAGACATAGCTAATTCCAATACTACCTTCAATGTACCAACCTGCAAGGTACATTGTTGGTAGTATTGGCATTAGCTATACTTAGGATTATCTGTAGACGTTAGTAAAAAAAAAATATACTAGGATCCAATTTTCAGATGGCGTTTCAAATTGATTGGCATAAATTTTTGACGAGTGGCAACTCTTATCCCCTATACTTATTATACTCTTTGGACTGATGGTCCAAAGATGGCCGCCCAAAAACGACAATTACGTCATTCCGCGGGAAAATTAAAACGACCGTTACACTTCCTTTTTATGCTTTTTTGCATTATTTTGGCTCATAAATGCACTTAAAAATATCACTTACCTCATAAAAGTTAAAGTTTGTGTGATGACTGGTAATATCCAATGGACTTTTGTTAATACATTAGTAAATTATTCAGTCCGATTCCTCGCGCTGTTGCCAGATAGGGATTGCGTCAGATAATGTATAACGTTCAGAGACACACATTTCAAAACACTGTAGCATTACTTTGTGAAATTCACACACGAAATTATCACAGAATTAACTAAAGATGCTAAATTTCTAACTAGAAACCTTCTAATAAAAGATTTCTCTTATAAGAAAAGTAGGGAAGAAGAACGGCAACGTCGCTTTTTAACACTGTTTAAACAAAGACTTGCTTTTTATATATTAACTTTTTTATTCTCACGGCGTAAATTGAGATTAAACTATAACTTTAATTACGAAAATGATATCAAAATTGTATAATAAGATACAAAGTGATGAAATTAACAGACGCTTATTCGAACAAGGTACAAAAATAACTGACTTGCGTTCAACTTGTTTTTGTTTCGTTTGTTCTCTGGCGTTGTAAACAATGGGGGTCAGTGTTGCTACCACAATAATGGACAAAAATCTACCGTTACAAACATTTCAATATATTTTATTAGTAATTTCTTTAATATAATTACGTAATGTAGTATTCAAATTAGTAAAATAACTATTTAAGAAACTTATTTGAATCTTACTGTTTTCTTTATTGCTTGGCGGCAAAACATTACAATGGATTTGCTACCAAAACTTTTTAACGTTATTTGTGTAACTATGTATTTTTACATTTTCTTACTTAACTAATCCGTTATATTTATTTATAAACTTGGAAAAATTATACAAAATAGCAATAGTAATGCTTTAGAATCATAGTAAGCTTCACATTTAACAGTTAAATGGTTAAAACAATGTATTTCTGTGCTACGTGACGCGCACCATGTTACCCAGTAATCAATACTTGTTGAATATTTAAATAACTTTTTACTTTCATTAGCTTATTTTTAGACCTGAATCTCAGTTACATATTAATGATATTAAACAATATCTGTTGTTTGTAGTAGATATTTATTCTAACTGCAGTTATCAAGAGTCATCTATTGAGCGTAGGAATATTATGACCCCCGCGGGAGGTCTTTGTTCAGTAGTATTACCTACGCAGTTATTTATGAAGTTTCTTTTCGACCTATTTTATGATACGGACCATGACTTCACCGTTGTAATATTATGATGATATTGTCAATAAAACATTTAGAACTAATATTATTTTGTGGTTATGAAATTACTCCTACAATCAGCAAAACGCCACCTCTTTTTAGTGGATTTCACAGTCACAGATTTCTCCATATATGTTATTTATTAGGATCGCTTAGGAGTCGAATTCTTTGTCAGAGTCAGACCTGCGGAGTCTTCAAGGTCTATGTGAATAAGTTGCTTTGGATATGTGCGGTCCAACGTAGGCTATATCATCCCACCAGGCGGTATGGGACTATGGCTAGATAGATTGGTATGGGAAATTTTTAACTGTACCTCTATATAAAAGTTTATTCAAACAATATATCTCCACTAATAACCTACTACATATCAAATAAATGATTGTACTACTAATTAACTACTTGGTTACCTAAACATGTTAAACTAAAATCTGTATAAAACTGATCAAAATCTTGTTTAGAGAAAAAATCTAGGTAAAACCACAGATATACGCGTTTCGAAACAATAATACTCACAAAAATACGGACGACCGGAATAGGAATGATGTCAGGGTATGAAAAATCAAAATCTAATTAGTCCGTTAGTTAGGAAATTAAATAATATTAGACACGTATTTTTTTATTTTGTCGTATAATAAAATGATACTTAAATAAATACAACGAATCAATGTTTAGGAGTGGGGGCTAAAACGTCATTTCTACGTATAAAATGTACATGGAAGTGAGCTCACGCGACATTTCAAATCAATCTGTAAAAAATAAAAAATACATGTCTAATGATTTAAAATAATCTATTAGACGGACATTAAAATAAAAATTAGTAATCTACCCTATTGTGGTTAATAGTCACCTTAAATGGCAGCCCGACATGGTGGGCGCATAGATTAGAATGGGATACCATTCGTTAGGTTACTTCAAATCCTGCGGTCAGTAGTAGCCTACGAATATTTCATTTCATATTAAACTGCGGATCTAATTGAATAGTCATTCAGCATAGTTCAAAATAGTTTAGGTTTTAAGACCAAATCGTATAGAATATTTGATTTATTTGATGAGCAAATATTAGGTGTGCAATTCAGTATTTTAGTTAGCAATTTTGAATATTTTGATAGAAAGAAGTAGATTTACAGTTTTGAGAATAAATACTATCCGATTGGTATTAACATAAGTAGCCATGATCTCACAAACCATCTGCCTAATGGACGTTATGACAAACTAATAAGACCCTCAGCGCAGTCCAACAAGATTGTCGCAGGCTGTTAATGTTGAAGGGGCATTATGATAAAACTATAGTCTATTATAAAAATTATAGCTTGCTATTGAGTTACATGAGTGAAATAGGTCAGTCATGTGAAGTAAAAAACAAAGTATACGATGAAAAAAACAGTTTTATTTTTTTAAACTTAATTTAAAATAATATGCATTTAAACAACTAATTTAAAGAAATCTTAAAAATAAAACGTAATAATTATATCAAAAGAAACTATGATAAGCTTTTTCTACACAATAATAAAAATAACGTTGTGCGTATACATAGTTTAAGTTTGGTAGACATTACCATTAATTAAAAGAAAGTAAAACTTAACATAGCATAATATCTATGCAGACATTTTCAATTATTATAGAAGAGATCGTTCTACCTACCAAAACTACCGTTTTGGTAGGATTCTCAAAAACTGTGAACACAAAGAAAACATCGTAATTTCTGTACATACCTTGACCGATTTACTTTATTTTACAGAAATATGACGAAAATATAAAATACACAAGAAATTTATATATATGTGAATCATCGATCAATGTCGCATAAAATATGTCGCGATGATTCGATGCTAAAAATAAAGAAAACAGCTGTTTTATATCAAAAATATTTTTGTTCGAAATACCGAAGGGCATACGTTAAAAACTTGTCATACACTTTTGGAATGACCTTATTAACACGAAAATATAAATGAAAACTAACTTTTTCCCATGATTTTGGTCGCGTGGATTATAAGAACATTTTATTATTAAATATTGCCAGGGTAAAAAGCTTGTGTAAATCCACACTATAGTCTATTTTAATGCTAAATTGCATAAAGACTCGTTTAGCGGTTTTTGCATGACCGATACTACGAAAAAAGTATAATAAATATGTTTGTGTCATACCAATTTATTAAAAAAAACCGCTCAATATTCTGTCGTAGGAATATCACAAAGTTTTTTTTTTGTGAACTAACACAAATTAGATTAATATTGTTCGAAGGCACTTCACAATACAATACAATACCTGCATAAAATGATTAGGTTGGTATAGGATACACCGTGAAATCTATTTCGTTTCCGTCCCGCGGCAAAACAACTTTCCCTAAGGAGAACTTGCGATGTATAAAGTAGAAAAATAAAAACGAAATTTTTACATAACATCA